AAAATATTATACTCCATAGGAAACATAGGATCTTAAAAGGTACCTTGGACTGGAATGATGATGAAATCAATGTCAAAGGACAAATGGTTGTTCAAAGTACTCCAAAAAGCAATGCAGGACAAGAGTTATGGCCAAATCCAAAATCATGTAATTAGTGGCCATTTTGAATTTATGCAAATTAGGCACATTTCCACCACTTGGATTTCTTTCCTTTCTTAAGGAACCTTATAGCAATGCACCATGTTGTGAAATTAATTTATGTACATGACAGAACTTGGATAATCAGGGAAAATTTAATTGTGACATGTCCACACATGACAGCCATAATCTTAACTTTAATCTATGCAAATTAATAAATGGCATTTATGCAAATTATTATCGGCATATTGCAAATTTTGGAAACATAGGGATATTGAAACTTACCAAGGTCTAGAATAATGAGTAAATCAATGTAAAAGGACTAAAATTATTGTTTAAAATACCTCAAAAAGCTACCTAGTATATGAAATATGACCAAATCAGTGCGAAAGTCCTAAAATATGCCGCCATTTTGGATTTATGCAAATTAGGCATATTTCCACCACCTGGATTTTTAAAGACTTTTAGTATGTCAATTTAGGGACCTTATAGAAATGCACTGTGGTGAAAAAAATTAATTCTGTTGCAATTTGTTTGAGGTTCACTCAAAAAATGAAGTATTTTGCCTGTACTACCTCCCACCTAAGTAGTATAGCAAACCACTGAACATTGCTATTTTCAATAAATTGGGTTATGCATTATGAAACTTATTCATTACCAGTTGTTTGTTTATAATTATGTAATTTTCATTTTTTTTCCCCTTCAAGTTGTTTCAGCAGCTGTGTAAGGGTTTCACAAGAAAGCTGCTTAAAGGTATATCATTGTACTTTTTTAATTTACTGTCTTCGTCACTGTTCAAGTAACATTTCAATTGTAATATTTGGAAGTGACATATATATGTTAAGTAATTTGACTATGTTTAAGTTGATGTTCATCAGTGCAAACATCGATTAGTGCCAATTAGATAGTCAAGAAACTTGCCATGTAATTTTAAAAGTCAAGTAAACGCATTATTTTGATATTTAACTATATACATATATATCTATAGATTCATATATATCATATTGCAGATAGTATATATATATATTACAGCATAATAAATGAATATAAGTCATCTGCAGATCTTTTCTGAAGTCAATGGGCATCTCAATAATAAAACAAGATCAACTCTCTGTGTTTAGTATTAAATATATTGTTGCAGCATCACTAAATATTCCATTATAAAGTAGCAAAAAAGTGGTACTGGGTGTGTTTAAGAAACCCATTAGAAAACTACTTTCCACCACTCGGATTTCTTAAGACTTTTAATATGTTATAGAGGAGATTTTTCTGAGTAATAACCTTTTTAAATGGTTTCTGCTGCAATTTGTTTGAGGTTACCCCTTAATTTTTCACATAATGCCTGTACTATTATTGACCTCCACGGAAGATATTTCGGTGCAACATGATAAAATGTATGTCTAAATAATCCTTACGGAAAGCATGTGTTACAATGTTGTTTTTTCGGCTTTGCGGTTATTCAAACATATCTCTGGATTTACAAAAGCATTCTTAATTAAATAAACGGTTTTCTCAAGCTAAATTTGTAACCTTGAAGATCGTGTAAACATTTGCAGTAAATTCTGGTTGTAAATTGGCGAAAATGGCGGGGTTTACATGCACCATTATTTTCAGGACACCCTGTATACTTTTTTGTGATACGTGGAATGAACTTAAGACGGTGTGCGTGTTCAAAATGCCGTAACTTGAAAAGTACATGGGTAAATTGAATGATTCTTGTAATAAAAGAACGCTCATTAATTGGGCTCTCGAATCCTAGATTTTGAAAGTGCCACAGGCAAAACTTCATTCAAAAATTGGTCCTGCCATTTGGAATGCGTTTTTCACTCACCCTGTATACAAAGTTAAAGGGAATGTACAACAACATGTGCTTTTTATGTAAGTTTAAGAAGTAAATGAATTTTGAGGATTAGTATGTTAAAGCAAATATTGTCAAACTGACTTGTTTCACGTTTTGGGCCTGTAGATGCTGGATAAACCAAGAATTCAAAACCAATCATATTCTTGTAGTCTGGTTCCCTGACCCCACGTAAGATAATACGGTTTGTAAGGTCAGAGAATCGGTTTGTACTACTTCACAGGTGTGTAGGCCTAATCAATTGCAAAGAAAATGTGGAAAAACTATAAATACACATGTATAAAAATATAGGAGCAGTTTTTGAAAAAAGCCAGTTTTCTCCAATGCAGGTCGGCCGACCAGCGTTGGAAAAATACAATTCTTCTTGAAAATGTCAGCGCACCAGGTGCCACGATTTTACAGGATGCTTTAGACTGTCATTCCCTAACAATCCAGTAAGGTATTTCGTGATAATTTGATCATTCCATGTTCTGATGTTTGCAAATGTTGTATCTTCCGTGACTTCCGCTTTACCCCAACCTCGTTCCACATGGGTACGATCTTACTGCGCCATGTTGTTTACCATCATGCCTTGCGGGAAGGAACGCGCACGCGCCCATGGAGTCGAGGCTGGTTTTACCCCTAAGCGAGTGCTAAAAAAATCAATGTCGTCCAAAATGTTAAGAGTTCAGGCTATTGCAGTTGTTCCCGCAAATTGTTATCTGTTATCTTGCTGCCTTGGCCTGATGACATTCCTCAGGTTGAGGAAACGTTCTGGTTGAGGAAATGCTGATGCAACGCGAGGCAGCAAAAAGTCAAACATGAGTGCAATAGGATATCTGGCATCGGTCAAGGTACACAGAAAATAAATGCTGAGTCATAAGACTCATTTAGGTGAGTCATGATTTTGTCCGTGTAGTGAGACACTTTTGGACTTAAGTGAGTCATTTGACTCACATGAAATGAGTCAAGTTACTCGGGCTGGAATAATATTTGGGTCATTTGACTCATTTTGTGGTATTTAAATGAGTCACCATTGTGTCCGTGTAGCGACACACTCCCATGTGATAAACGAGTCCACTTACTCAGAATGGGATACATGTGAGTCATGTGACTTGAATGTTTTTTTTTAGCTGCGTCCTGTGCTGAAACACTGCGATGTGCATAAACCATCAAATTCGAAGACAGTTTACGCACAAGAGCATCAGTAACACAAGTACAAAAAGATTTAGAGGGCATATATACCTTGTTGATCACAAAATGCTCACTTTGCTCACTGTGCCTAACACTAGGCCTAACACAATGTAGGCCTAGTACTAACGTTAAACCTAGGCGTACGACGGCAAAGCCACTTGTAATTTAGGCTTGGCTACACAGAGCAAACAGTGCTTGATAACAAGGAATTAAAAAACTACCGTGAATCGGGAAGATTGCATTCAATTATTAACAACACGATAGCAGCGTTAAGAACATGAAAATACCAAATGACAATGACAAAAGCTCTGGCTCCCACTACTACGCGACAAAAACAATGGCGGATTGATGCAAACAACGGGTTTCCTATGCTTGCCCGCACGGGCTCGGGGATGACTCGGTGCCAGCTTGGTACTGAGTCATATGTCAAACCAGACTCATTTTCAAGGGACAAGTGAGTCAACAATAAACATTCTAAGTGAGTCAATGCCCTTTTGACTCGCTACGTAAATTTCAGTGAGTCTGATGCGATGCATATGGTGTTAAATACGAGTCAAATTTACTATGACTCACTAAAATCGTCCAAAAGTGAGTCAAGAGACACAACAATTTGTTTGTGTGTACGTTGTTTTCCGATGAAACGTAAAACACGGATGAGGAAACAGGTGTCATTTTTGGTCTTTCGATTTTAAGTGAAAGGCTGGATCATTGTTTTAACCTGCTGTCACTATTCATTGTTGTTGCTGCCGGAAGAATGGATAGATTTATGGCTCCGTGTTGCAAAACTTTGTATAAAAATGTTCTCATATAAATAAAGTCAGTTAAAACAAATGTGCAAGTAACAGTGTTTTGTTTTAACCTGCCGTCACTGATTCATTGTTGTTGCTGCCGGGAGAATGGATAGATTTATTGCTCCGTGTTGCAAAACTTTGTATAAAAATTTTCTCATATAAATAAAGTCAGTTAAAACAAATGTGCAAGTAACAGTGAGAACTGATGCTTGTTTAAAACTTATTCAAAAATACAAAAGTCGCATTCAATATCACAGTCACGAAAACAACCAAATTAAACACTGTTGCAAGCATTAACCAAATCAAACAACGTTTCACAACCTTTCCCTCGACTTTCCTTTGTGTTCCCAACTTCTTTTTTGATATAATTCAAACTTATCCAGCCATGGAATAGTGGTATAAGTTAAACAAACTTATTATACGTATCATGCGAGAGAAAACGAATAGTTCATAGTATTTTGAAATCTGGAAGTCAATAATTACTAGGCACAAATTCAGTGTTCTTATTTGAGCAAGTTTCATAGACTTGCATTTGGAGTTGTGGACAAACCAGTTTTTGACCGTTTCTCTGTAAATGACCGTCATTTCTTAAATTAGGCTTTCTATTCAGTGCCATTTTCACCATATGCCACCACAACCTGGTAGTTTAGGAATATCTTAAAACAATTTCAATAGGCCTATGTCTCCCTAATTTTGAGAAATCTTCGTCTGAAAAAGTGCAAACCTTTTTGGCGCCACCAGTGTAGGAAAGGATTTAGAAGGTTAGGCACATGTGCACGGGCGGAAGGGATATACAGGTGAAAGTGCACTTGGTCGGACAGTATACAAATATAACATGGTTTGAGGGTGAACAGTCGATATTCGCTCCCCGAGGTATTGGAAGTTGACAAACTAGTTCCCGAGGCGAAGCCGAGGGAACTAGTTTGTCAACTTCCAATACCGAGGGGGGCTAATATCGACTGTCAACCCGAAATAAACCATGTTATATCTGTCATAGGAGTGACGTCAAAATGCCCGAGCCAATCACAGAAGAGGCGCGGCCAAGGTGTCACTGTACTGTGCAGGGAGCTGTCAAGAGCCTTTAAAAGGGAGAGCGCGGACCGCTGTAGCATCACTCCGCACCTTCACTTTCTAGAGACACTCGATTGATGTTCTGGTTGTTGATCCTGAGGTGAGTTGTTGTCTTTGATAACATTTTGGTCTGCTGCGCGCATGCAGTCAGGACTTTCACTTCTCCTTCCCCCAATTTCGCCGGCTTTACACAACTCATCGCTTCCACTCGTCCATACACGTTTGCATTAGTGGGCTGATATAGTCATACGGTGAAGAATTCCCCAATTAAGTTAGTGGTGGGTGCCTCGTGTCGGAACTTGTTTTTGTCGGAATCGGAATTCGGCTTTCCTGTAGGCCTACTTCTTAATGTTCAATCTCATTTATCAAAGGTCATGCGTGATATTTTCTTCTTTCTGTTTAATTGCACGTTTTAATTGCATGCACGAGGTGTGGGCTTATACGTGTGCCCATCCATTATATTCATTTTTTTCTATTATTATTTCTAGAAACCTGGGACCGATTGATTAATTTGATTCCCACAATATATCTTTCTTGTTTTGTTTTTAGGGACCCTTACAGTACTAACTATAATTTTAAAACCTTGTCCGTTCGCAGTTGTTTCATTCATGCAATAAAATTTCGGTATGATTGACTTGAAGAAAAACTATTGGGTCAACAAATACATTGAGTCGAAAATAACAACGTCACTCATTTAGTTTCAAACTGATAATTAATTTATAGACCTAATCGTTCACATTCACTCAGAAACTATTGCCGAGGTGACGAAAAAACTTTGTCGAAATAGACTGATTCTGTCTTCACGGGATTTTAGTTTAACGGTGAACCCCCCCCCCCCCCCCCCCCCCCAGACTTCCGAATGTACGTGCGTTGGCCTTGGATGCGAATTTCGTTTCATGTCTTTGAAATTAATCACGTTTAAAACTTATTCATCGTCTTTTCTTCTTTCTCTGCAGCTTATCAGCTTGAATCTCAGCAAAAATGACGGCAAAGGTAAGACAAATGCAAAGTCAAGTCTGTCATGTACGAGGCTATGTGGCCCATCTAACCGGCGTTTATCTCCGGTTTCAGTGGCATGAAACGACTGGAAATGTCTATTTCCCCTGGATGGGATGCCGGTCCATCGAAGGTTACTCTTCAACCAATGCCGGTACCAATTACCAATTTTTACTGGGTGTACAGCTAGACGCAAGTGTGGATAAAGGGGCTTGCTCGAGGACACAACGTGTGATCACTCTCTGATCATTCACGGAAACCCTAACCATTATGCCATAATGCCACACATTAACAACATTCACCCAGTGCTGCTGGGTGAATGTTGTTAATGACCTTGTACAAGAATTTTAGTTGATTTGATTCCCTCCTCTCTTCAAGACATGTCCAACCCAAAGTAGCCAACGTGTGTATCACGCTTTTCTCTTAAACATTTTCTAAAAACAAAACATTGAACAAACAACAAAAGAAGGAGAACGAAGTCCCGAACCTATGTTTACAGGAACTTCGGAGTGCCCATCTCTCTTTCGAAGCGATTGGGCCAGACTCGAATCCATGAAATGCTGCTGGGGGGGGGGGGGGGGGGATCGCCACACCTCCTCCACAGCGAGCCTGTTACCTTCCCAGCATTGAATAATGCCGGTACACATTTAACACCAGGGTGGAGAGGAGTAAAGCGCCTTACTCAAGGGCATGGCCACGGCGGGGCTCGAACCCACAATGTTACGATCATGAATCCTGTGCCCTACCGCTAGACCACACGTGCCCACAAGAAGTTATGACACTGCTGAATGCGATACACTAACTCAGACTTTTTAACCAACTGAGGTATTGTTTTGTTTCTTAGATCACCCTTTACCAGGATTCGAACTTCAGGGGAGCATCCCGAGATGTTACAGGAGACATCAGCAAACTGAGTTCCATCGGCTTCAACGACCGAGTGTCGTCGATCAAAGTTGTTGGGAGCGTGTAAGTATTTTTCAAAATTACCAGTGGGAATGACTCCAATTTTAATGTATGGAACTGCTCCAATTTTAAAGTAGTCAATGGAATAGTAGCCTTGACCAAGGCGTTGGGCTTATCGATTCGCCGATAAAAAAAAATCGCCTATAAGAAAATCCCTAATCAACTTGGCAAGGCATAATTGCGTGCACATATCGATGCCTGTACGCTGCTAGTGAGAAAGTAACTTGTACCATACAGCAAGGCTATGCTTGTACATGTACGTACGCACGTAAACACACGTACTCGTAACAGCCATGCACACACAGTACATGTACATGCACAGGCCACGCGGCGCGTATATCCCCCACACGTACGTACGCACACCCACACGCAGAACATGCATAGAAGGCCTACATGCATAGGGTGGCATGGGTGGCTTGTGCGTAAAGCGCTCGCCTCTCACCAAGGTGACCACGGTTCGAATCCTGGCCGCGGATCGCATGCGAGTAGAGTTGTGCGTTGGTTCTCTCCTGTGCCACGAGGGTTTTTCTCCGGGCCCTCCGGTTTTCCTCCCTCCGGAAAAATCAAACACTTTCGATCTCAGGCTGTGCTCCGTGGTCATATATGGGTCGATGTGGCCGGCAGCCATTGTAGCCGCGTCCTTCGCAATTCAGCATACCAGCTGCGAGTAAGGATGATTAGCCTCCCAAATTATTATTATTATTGACATTTACTGCCTTATTACACCATGCGTACAGTCCGTACTCACGTGTGTGTGCTTGCTGGTTGTGTTAGTACCGAACCGTTCATACGGACAAGGGTCGGTGGTACACGCACGTATAGCCGCGTTGATTGTGGGTGCAGGGCCCGATTATCTCCCTTCGACAAAAAGCCGAGAGACCGCCTTGAACAAGGCTAATGAAATAGCCGCTTGCAAAGCAAGCGTGTACGATACGCGTGCAGATTTGGCCATTGATAATATGCAACACAAGACCGCCAGATTCTGACCATTCAACAGGCGCCTTCTACTAGGTCTTCGGTAGCCCGTTGTTGTATCACAAAAACATGGCAGCCAATTGACCAATCATCAGATTAGGTATAATTTCCTGTCAAAATGACGTCACAATTTGTAAAGTCGTCTGTGATTGGCTGACAGCCGGGGTCAGGTATAAAATTTGCATGTTCATATAAGACGTTTATAATATGGAATTATTATGTTGTGGAGCTCGCAGACTCTGTCTGAACAACGAATGATTCTCTAATTTTAAAGGCAGTAATGAAATGAATTTCGCAGATAGTTTGTGCGAACATCTACTCATCTACCTGTGTGGAAATACCACGGGGAAAACACCCCCTTCACCCCCTGCCGAATGTCCAACCCTGCGAACTCGTCTAACTGTGTGAAAAGGAGGGGGGCAACAGCACATGCCCCCCCCCCCACCCCGCTGAATCGCCCTACGAACATCGGCACGTTCCCCCCCCCTGCCGAATGTCTGACCCTGCGAACATTTACTCATCTGTGTGAAAAGGAGGGGGCAACAGCACGTGCCCCCACCCCGCCGAATGTCCGATCCCTAGGGTGAAACCCCCCCCCCAATTTACAAACATAAATTCTACCAAATATACAGAGCACTGTTGAAATGTGCCTCGATTGCCCCCTTTGAAAAATGTGAGCTATCCCAGGTGCACCCCTGCCCAGAAGTTTCACCCTAGTTACGCCACTTAAGAAACGATTTGATTTCGATCATTCGAACTTTGCTTCCCCGAAACGCACTTTTTAAGCTACAAGCGTTTGTAACGAGGTTATCATATACAGTCATGTAACACAAATCATACTGATTGTTGCACGCAGGTGGGTTGGCTATGAACACACCAACTACAACGGTCGCCAGTACATCTTGGAGGAAGGTGATTACCCGAACTGGGGTGCCTGGAAAGGTTCCAATGATCAACTCTCCTCGCTGAAGAAGCTGAACCCGGTGAGTCCCCCCCCCACCCCCAAGTGAAGGGCATGTATGGTTCTCATCCAGAGTCTATCATGATTTTAAGCGCGGGCATGGTACTCGGCTTATGAGCTCCGTGCGCTACCAAAAGAGGGTGCCCTTTTACCTAGCAACGACGTCCCATGGGTGGGACATTTCGCTGGCAGACGCGCACCATTCCTTGTGCGTGACGCACGTACACCAGGGCATTTGTTCTATTTACACGCAGTGGCCGCGCTTCGCAGCAAATGAATTGCAGTCAGGCAAGATGGCGTCGGTCGGTCACCCCCAACTGTACTTCCTTTGCCGGTGAGGGGGTACTTGTGAACGGAGCGGATAGAGCAACTGACCGTCAGTCAGTCAATAGCCCAAAAGGTTGTTCTTGTCAAAACAAAAGCTGGAAGCTTGAATCTTCTTCAGTTTGTATTTGTCTCGTAGTTTTACATTTTAACAATTTTTGTTTGAAAGTTTTTTGTAAAATATAAAAAGGTCATATTTTAAGGTTTTCCTTTTGATTTTCATTCCTTATTCTATTTAATAATTGAAGAGCGTATTTACGCAAAACGGCTCTTACATCCACCTTGGCTAATTTTGAAAAAAAGGTGAAATTCCTGAGAATGCATGGTCAATTACTGTGCGTTGATGGTGCTAAGTCAGTATCTATAAGAAGTGGATGTAAGCATCCTGTTAAAGTGAAGTGTCATGGCCTAGCGGTCAAGAGCACCGCACCGATGTTCTGGTGTTTCAGAGGCAACAGTGGCGTGGGTGTCGAGCCCGGGTGGACACTTAAAGCCGTAGTTAAAACTTCCCTGCGGAGTCCTCAAGAGAAGAGCCAACCAAGTACCAAGCAGCCGTTTTGCAAATAAGCTCTTCAATTGTGGAGCACAAAATCATAGTTTTTCGCTAAAAATGACTTTTTTATTAGGCCTTTATTATGAAAGAAATACATAGTATGGTCTCCTGTGGACCGTTTACGTCACCACTGTACCCAACATGCCTTTGGCGCACCCAGAGCATCTCATCATTACGCCATTTCTTTCTCTTAATCCATAATACAGGACATCGGGGACTTGCCGCAGATAGTTCTGTACCAACACACCAACTACGGTGGCAGGGCTGCGACTTTCACCTATGGAATTTACAACTTGAAATACTACAACTTCAATGACGACGCTTCCTCTCTCAAAGTCAAGAGCGGAATGTGAGTAAACGAGTATAATATAAGAAAATAATAAATGTTCAGCTGTGGAGTGCCATGGCCTCGTGGTCTGGAGCATTGAATTCGTGGTCTGCGGGTAATTCTGCAGGTTGTGGGTTCGAGTCCAGCCTGCGGCTATGGTGCATTTGCCCTTGGGCAAAACACTTTGTCACTCATTGCTTCTCTCCACCCGGGAGTAAATGGGTACCTGTGAGGACAGACATGGTTATTGTGGTTGATTTTAGCTGCTTAGCTCTGAAATGGCGGCTTCGATCTGTATACTCCCCAGGGAGCTGAGATTGTCTTTGTAATGTTTCATTGGCCAATTGAGCAGGGTAATAATGATGTAACGCCTTGAGCACCAATAATGATGGATACATACGCTTTATCAATACATATTATTACCATTATCTGCCATTTTTGTTCCCCAGTCCCCTAGTTTGGCAACTAGAGAAAATCTCAAACTGATAAGTTGCCATGCTTAAGTGCCTTTTTTTCCCACGTGTTCTGTTTATTTTTTTCGAAAACCCGTTTTTTTTCTTCACAAATGTGTTCATGGCCCGTGGGAATTGAATAACGTCCCATATTGTCTGCCATTGGCCACGATGTCGGTTTCGAAAAGTGTCCCATGCATAAGGAGATGGTGGTTCAAGTTTGCCATAGAAACTGTCAAGGGCCTTTTAACTTTTCAGAAGTGTAAATGCAAAAATTCAAAAATTCCCATGAGAAGGTTTTTGCCACGAACAGTGGTAGAAATTAGATTCAATGCGAATTTACTGATTAATTAAATACATATTAACTAATAAACTGATATTTCTGCATTGTATTGGCATTCTTCCAAGTCTCAATGACGTTTTCTTCCATTTGAATTTCTAGAAGTTGAAAACAAAATCTTACCTTTATAAAAAGAGACCAGTCTTTCAACATGCCTTTGTGTTTGTATATGTACAGATGGATCTTGTACGAACACAGCAACTACGGAGGCAGGCAGTACGTCGTGACAGAGGGCTCCTACCCACACTGGGACAACTGGCGCGGTGCCAATGATAAGATCTCCTCACTCCGACCAATCAAGGAAGTAGGTTCATTCTCTATAAAAAATTAAAGCAATGGAAAGGTACTATATGACTTTATGAGGTGAAGACATGATGTTTGGGTTAGATCTTTCTTGCCATAACATTATATATGTGAATGCGAACTTTTTTTGTCCAAGGGAGCTAGGAATTCAGTGGCTAATCTGTGCCGGGGACTGGGGTGGGGTGGGGTGGGGGTGGGGAGTGACTTAGATAAAAATGTGCCCGGCCGTGCAAATATGAAAAGGCGCGGGGGGCTTGCTGAACACAACATGACACTGTTTAAAATTGCACTGTCCTACAGCGGTCGGACAATTTGATATTGAGTGCTCCCTCAAGTTTCCCTTTCAAATTGGACGTTTGTTACACCCTAGTGCTGGTTCCTTTTTTTTTACAGCCGTTCTTTCCCACCGAGGTCCTGAGCATGGAGTTCGACATCGCTGCGGGCCTGCTCAACTCCACCCCGGTGGCCCTGGTCAACCTGTCCCAGCGGAATGACTCCAGCTCGGATCAGCAGGCCTCGTGGTCTACCAAGCGCACCGTGACCACCACCAAGACTTACGAGTGGCACTGGCAGAACAGCACGGCCGTCAGCGTGTCAACCACCTTCAAGACCGGTGTGCCCGTCATCGCTGATGGGGAAATCACGGTGAGCGTCGAGAACACCTTCTCTATTGGCGAGAACCGGGGCCAGCAGAACACGCAGTCGGATGAGTGGTCCTTCAACCTGCCGGCCACCGTCAAAGCTAAGACCATGCTGCGCGTGCAGGTGAAGTACCTTAAGGCAAAAAAAATATATATATTTTCAAACAATTAACTAGGGGAGGTTAAAGAAGAATTTCCAATTAGCCAATAGTGCTAAGCCATTGAAAGAATTGAGGACTTTTTTTTAATACTCTCAACAAAAAGAGAGCACTGGGACCCTTGGTTTCAGTGCCAGTTTAAATAAAGAATTTCCATGGCAGAAGACTGACAAGGTTTACTTTGTCCTTTGGACAAATTTGCCGAAGTTCCACTATTATTTATCGGCAAAGTTCTCCAAGGAAAAGAGGTTTCGTTCTCGTCACTATTAACCCTCCTGCTGTCTGAACAGTCACAGACAGTCAAAAAATCAATTCTCTTCCCCTGCCATGCCTTTTACACCGGCTATAGTCACCAACAGTCAGATCATATTTCAAGCAAGCACTGTTACTAGTCAAATTCAATCAACAGACAAAAAACAGGCAAGTGGTAGGCTTAATCACCTATACAATCATAGCATAGCTGCATGAAGTCACATAAACAGACAAAGCCAGTCAATCCTGCTTTTTACGGTTGAAAACAGTCACTTGATTGATTTCGACTGCAACGACAACGGGGAACAGAATGTATGTTTGTATAGGAGGGTTAATTTGAATTTGTTGTCTGGTACCCTACGCAGGTCAACATCCAGCAGGGTAAGATTGACGTGCCCTTCTCGGCCCTCCTACAGAAGGGCAACAGACGCTGGAGGGAGGTGGGAACATTCAGGGGCACCCAGAGCTACAATCAGCACGTCGATTACGATGAAACACGGCTGTAGAGAAACGTGTCTGTAACTCAGGCCGAATGTTGCTGGCTAAAATAAGATACAAGCCGAATATAGACGGAAAAAAAAATCTAAGGAGTACTTAACACATTGATGGCTGTGGCACGGTTAAAAAAAAGTATTTGGGATAAATATAGAATAATAAAACATGTCCATTTTTGAGAGGGGATATTTTGACGCGACCACCAAAGTGACCTCAGGATACCTGAGTGTTGTTATGAAGAGCCAGAATCTCGTTGTACTTACATTTTAGAAAATAAACAGAAATGTCTTTAAGTGGGATCTTTGAAACCCTAGTCTCAGATGCCAGGAAATACCTAGATTGCACCAGAGAGCATCTACAATCCGAAATTTTACGGGGCCCTTGACGGGCCCCGGACCCCACGCCATTAGGGGCCGAGACTCACTGCCGCCTACTTTCATCCATCTGCCTGCTACTCTTGTTGAAACCCCTGACTTTTCTTTTAGACTCATTTCATAATAATTTGTTGGGTAAAATGTGATGTTTTTATAGCGCTTGTAATGTTATCAACTCACTTATGTTTTAACCAGCATATCATGGATTGTTACTTGAAAGAAACATCTACTTTATAAGCAGTATATCATGCCAAACCAATTACTATCTTTCAAAAAATATATAAATGTTATACTCAGAATTAGTCTTGTTCGAGATTAGGCCAAATACAAAAAAAAAGATATTTAGCGTCCTGCCTTTTTGAAAAAACGAAGCAGGCCCTTTTGGACTCTGGAATGACATACCAGCTTTATATGGGCTATTTAGGCCAAAAATGATGTCACTGTTTAAAATTTATCATTTTTTCGTTTCAAGAAAAAAGAAAAAAAGAGGCGGCCTCTAAAAAAGGAAACAGGCGGGGACGCTCAACATGTTTTTTTTTTTACTTGGCCTTAAATAGGAACTTTAACGGAATTGAACTGTTGGACTTTCCAGACGGAATTATCAAGATCAACTTTAGGATAATTAAAGTTATCGTTTTAAGAAATCCTGTAAACTGATGCCAGTTCAGCAAACAAGTGGTTTCAAAAATGTAATTTGAATATCAAAGCAGTGTCGGAAACAAAGGACATATGGACCGTTGTGTGTGTTATATTATCCGTATAATCACTAAAGCTGTAACTTGGGCATAATTATTGTTGGCATCGTGATCTAGTCTCTTATATACATGTAGTTGAGGATTAATCCCGTGAATGAAATGGAGTGCACATTGAGGCCACATACGCATGCTGTCCATTTTGCCAAGATATTACATTAAAAGAGCATTTAAAAAGTAGCATTGACATTGTGGTGTAATTTTTTTTAATGCAATCCTTAAAATTGCACATTTGTGTCGTACTTAACCTTAATTTTCATTTTGCTATTTTTAAGGGCATTTTTGGTGCCTTTTTAGTGTTGATTCAACCTCGTCCCCAGTGCTTACTTTATTTCCAACCGCGTTTCCAATAGTAAACCCTGGATAGGAAACTTTCTTCCTGTATCCTGATTGGATACCGCAATTGGCTAGTAATGGATTTTTATCGTGTACTTGGTGCTATTATTCACAACGTGCAGTACGTGTTTTTTTTTTTGCGATCATTCGTCCACGCCTTCTCGAAAATACTAATTTCCTTTCCAATTTGCTCATATTAATATGAAATATGATACTGCATGTTGTCTTGATAAGATCGTAACAGTTTGATTTCAAAAATCGTGTTTTCGTAGCTCACGCCGTGCTCGCGCTGCTACGAATTGACTCTGTTTTTACCCCAGACACCGCATACAAAAACAAACGCTAATGTGTAACGCATATCCAGGCACCAGACTGTTCCTCATTGGCATACGTGTTCAAAAATCTTGGACATGCAAATGATCCAATACCAGGGTGAGAGAGCTGCGGTAGTGGTGGGCGCGTACTGCTCGACACCCTGGGACGAGGTTGGTGTTGATGCTAATGCGAATCTCCATATTTGTGAGCAAAAGTGTGATGTCATTTCAGAAAGAAACCCCACATGGGCGTCGCCATGATTCTTTTTCTAGTGGGGGGGGGGGGAAGCACATCCCCCCCCCAAAAAAAACAATTCTTGTACTTTCTCTAGCATATTCTCAATTTATCATTTTTTCGAGGGTGAGCGGGGAAATTTACCCGCCCTATCCCACTGACACCCCCTGCAGACGCCCATTTTGTTAAATGTCCATGAAATGAGTAGTGTAACGTCACATCTCGTGCTTTCTTGGGGGGGGGGGGCAAGTGCACTTTACGTGTTTTACCAAGTGTCCCAAATCTAAAATATTTTCCATATCCGCGGTCATAAAAACTATAAATTTTCGGCCCAAAAATCAAACTTCACGAATTTAAGTCAAACTTTCACACAAGGCGCATATATACCAGGAATGAATTCCCCGAAGATTTCAGCTCACTACAGTCAGGATCCAGGGAGAAAGCACAAATGTTGGGTGTTTTTTTTACCGGTTGACAAGTATAAAGAATGGATAAGTAACTGATTAATCAAATTGACTGCCGGAAACTTACCGATCAATACTTCTCGGATATTCCAAGTTATGTATTTCCCAAACACACTAGTTCCTGTGGTGACTGAGATATTTCGATGTGTTCTCTATGTAAGCAATATCAAGGTCAGCGGTCTTCATCTCAGTGGACAAAGCAGTTCAACAAACGAGCTGCTCGCCAAACTTCCTCGTGGTTGGTGTTCAAAATCCTCCATCCCGTACGATCACATCGATAGCATTTTCAATAGTATTTTAATTCAGTATAATGCATAGCTGCAACACTAACCCGAACAGTCCTGAATCCTCCAAATTCAATACTATTTTGCACACCCCCTAGGGAGTTAAGGGGAAAATAAAACATTTGCAAACATCAAAAAATAAAACTACCAAATCATTTTGAAGTACCCAAAAATCCAACTTCACCAAAATTCCTCAAAAGTTCACACGAGGTGCCTAGAGGCCAGAATTGAATACCCAGAAGAGTTCAACTCATTACATTCAGTATCCAGTGAGAAAAGAAAACATTTAGATTTTTGACTAAATGCCAACAAAACTACAACGTTTTCCATAGCCGGCATCATCGAAAAAGTCAGATTTTGACCCAAAAATCAAACTTCACCAAAATTGCTCAAAAGTTCACACGAGGTGCCAAGAGGCCAGAATTGAAATCCCTAAAGAGTTCAACTCATTACATTCAGTATCCAGTGAGAAAAGAAAACATTTAGATTTTTCACAAAATGCCCCCAAAACTTCAACGTTTTCCATAGCCGGCATCATCAAAAAAGTCAGTTTTTGACCCAAAAATCCAACTTCACCAAAATTGCTCAAAAGTTCAAACAAGGTGCCTATAGGCCAGTATTGAATTCCCTAAAGAGTTCAACTCATTACATTCAGTATCCAGTGAGAAAAGAACACATTTAGATTTTTCACAAAATGCCCCAAAACTTCAACGTTTTGCATAGTCGGCATCATCGAAAAAGTCAGTTTTTCACCCAAAAATCCAACTTCACCAAAATTGCTCAATGGTTCACACGAGGTGCCTATAGGCCAAAATTGAATTCCCTGAAGAGTTCAACAATTACATTCAGTATCCAGTGAGAAAAGAAACATTTTAGATTTTTTACAAAATGCCCCCAAAACTTCAACGATTTCCATAGCCGGCATCATCGAAAAAGTCAGTTTTTGACCCAAAAATCCAACTTCACCAAAATTGCTCTACAGGTTCACACAAGGTGCCTAGAGGCCAGAATTGAATTCCCTGAAGAGTTCAACTCATTACATTCAGTATCCAGTGAGAAAAGAAAACTTTTAAATTTTTCACAAAATGCCTCCAAAACTTCAACGATTTCCATAGCCGGCATCATCGAAAAAGTCAGTTTTGACCCAAAAATTCAACTTCAACAAATATGCTGAAAAGTTCACACCAGGTGCCTAGAGGCCAGAATTGAATTCCCCGAAGAGTTCAACTCATTTCATTCAGTATCCAGTGAGAAAAGAAAACATTTAGATTTTTTACAAAATACCCCCAAAACTTCAACGATTTCCATAGCCGGCATCATCGAAAAAGTCAGTTTTTGATCCAAAAATCCAACTTCACCAAATTTGCTCAAAAGTTCACACCAGGTGCCCAGAGGCCAGAATCGAATTCCCTGAAGAGTTCAACTCATTACATTCAGTATCCAGTGAGAAAAGGAAACATTCAGATTTTTTACAAAATACCCCAAAAACTTCAACGTTTTCCATAGCCGACATCATCGAAAAAGTCAGTTTTTGACCCAAAAATCCAACTTCACCAAATTTGCTCAAAAGTTCACACCAGGTGCCTAGAGGCCAGAATTGAATTCCCTGAAGAGTTCAACTCATTACATTCAGTATCCAGTGAGAAAAGAAAACATTTAGATTTTTTACAAAATACCCCCAAAACTTCAACGATTTCCATAGCCGGCATCATCGAAAAAGTCAGTTTTTGACCCAAAAATCCAACTTCACTAAAATTGCTCAAAAGTTCATACAAGGTGCCTAGAGGCCAGAATTGAATTCCCTGAAGAGTTCAACTCATTACATTCAGTATCCAGTGAGAAAAGAAAACTTTTAGATTTTTCACAAAATGCCTCCAAAACTTCAACGTTTTCCATAGCCGGCATCATCGAAAAAGTCAGTTTTTCACCCAAAAATCCAACTTCACCAAAATTGCTCAACAGTTCACACGAGGTGCCTATAGGCCAGAAATGAATTCCCTAAAGAGTTCAATTCAGTACATTCAGTATCCAGTGAGAAAAGAAAACATTTAGATTTTTTACAAAATGCCCCCAAAACTTCAACGTTTTCCATAGCCGGCATCATCAAAAAAGTCAGTTTTTCACCCAAAAATCTAACTTCACCAAAATTGCTCAAAAGTTCACACGAGCTGCCTAGAGGCAAGAATTGAATTCCCTGAAGAGTTCAACTCATTACATTTAGTATCCAGTGAGAAAAGAAAACTTTTAGATTTTTTGCAAAATGCCCCCAAAACTTCAACGTTTTCCATAGCCGGCATCATCGAAAAAGTCAGTTTTTGACCCAAAAATCCAACTTCACTAAAATTGCTCAAAAGTTCACACCAGGTGCCTAGAGGCCAGAATTGAATTCCCTGAAGAGTTCAACTCATTACATTCAGTATCCAGTGAGAAAAGAAAACTTTTAGATTTTTTACAAAATGCCCCCAAAACTTCAACGTTTTCCATAGCCAGCATCATCAAAAAAGTCAGTTTTTGACCCAAAAATTCAACTTCACCAAAATTGCTCAAAAGTTCACACCACGGGGCTAGAGGCCAGAATTGAATTCCCTGAAGAGTTCAACTCATTACATTCAGTATCCAGTGAGAAAAGAGAACATTTAGATTTTTTACATAATGCCCCCAAAACTTCAACGTTTTCCATAGCCGGCATCATCGAAAAAGTCAGTTTTTGACCCAAAAATCCAACTTCACCAAATTTGCTCAAAAGTTCACACCAGGTGCCTAGAGGCCAGAATTGAATTCCCTGAAGAGTTCAACTCATTACATTCAGTATCCAGTGAGAAAAGAAAACTTTTAGATTTTTCACAAAATGCCTCCAAAACTTCAACGATTTCCATAGCCGGCATCATCGAAAAAGTCAGTTTTGACCCAAAAATTCAACTTCAACAAATATGCTGAAAAGTTCACACCAGGTGCCTAGAGGCCAGAATTGAATTCCCCGAAGAGTTCAACTCATTTCATTCAGTATCCAGTGAGAAAAGAAAACATTTAGATTTTTTACAAAATACCCCCAAAACTTCAACGTTTTCCATAGCCGGCATCATCGAAAAAGTCAGTTTTTGACCCAAAAATCCAACTTCACCAAATTTGCTCAAAAGTTCACACCAGGTGCCCAGAGGCCAGAATTGAATTCCCTGAAGAGTTCAACTCATTACATTCAGTATCCAGTGAGAAAAGGAAACATTCAGATTTTTACAAAATACCCCCAAAACTTAAACGTTTTCCATAGCCGGCATAATCAAAAAGTCAGGTTTTGACCCAAAAATCCAACTTTCCCCAAAATTGCTCAACAGTTCACACCAGGTGCCTAGAGGCCAGAATTGAATTCCCTGAAGAGTTCAATTCAGTACATTCAGTATCCAGTGAGAAAAGAAAACATTTAGATTTTTTACAAAATACCCCCAAAATTCAACGTTTTCCATAGCCTGCATCATCAAAAAAGTCAGGTTTTGACCCAAAAATCCAACTTCACCAAAATTGCTCAAGAGTTCACACGAGGTGCCCAGAGGCC